TATCGTAACTGTATAGGAAGGATATGATGCAGTGGCATAAACAGGATTTTAGTAGTGAGGATACAGTGAATAGCCCGGCAGCAAAATCGATTTTTGAGATTTGAAACTCTGTTGTAGCTAGCATGAAAGTTGCTACATATCTGTATTTTACTATACCTTGAATTGTGATTGCAACCGACTACTCGGTTAGCAGTAACTATTATAAAATAGCTAAAATAGGTGAACATCACTAATAGATTCCTATCACTAAAATGTATGTTTCAAATTGAAGTTCTAATTATATTCATTAGATATTGTACGGTTATTTAGCGTTACATTTTTACTATATATTACAGACATTTTGCACTTACTGAACCTCTTTTCTGCTTCAATAGGACTAAAAGTCTACTCATAATATACTAAAAAGTAACAACAGGTGAATCATAAAATTGTTTCACAGGATTTTTTCAGAATTTTAATTTACTATCGAATAGAGTATGCCATCAAGCAACTTTGATGGATGCATAAAGATGCGGATCTAAGTGTTTATTGAGATACGACATCCCAAATATAGCCTTTGATATACATCCATTCAGAGTGACTTGTATAATAATTCCTTATCTTTTCGATCAAATAAGTTTCCAATACACAATACAAGCTCAAGTATATAAATTTTTAAACTGTTACATCAATTGTTTAGTTCTAAACATAATACATAGATAGTCTCCAACTTTGAAGTTGATAACTTACAAGAGAACCTCTCCAGATGCTAAATCGTTTCTGGATTGAGACTAAATTCATTTGATATGTGCTGATGATCACTGGAAAATTCTAGAATGATTTGATTTTTCAGGTCTTCGTTCTTATGATATTGAATTTTTACTGAATTTTTCTACAAAACCTCGCAGTCCCTCTCAGGTCATGTTGAAAATTGACTTGAGAGTTTCGACATGAAACTTAGCATAAATAATGTTTTTTATTTGACTAGTTCATTGTGAAAATTTCAGCTTTTTTCGTTGCTTCTGTCGTAAGATACGCATATATGAGTGAAGATCATGACCATTACACTGTTGTATACCAAAAAGAATATCATGTTATTATCTACAACAATTGTAGAGATTGCTCCTGGTTCTTCTTTTTCTGTGCACGGTGAGGGGGGGGGGGGGGAGAGAGCGTGGCTTAGATGGCTGGTCTCTGTTTGGTGAAAGACTTTTGGTAGAGTTTAGCTGGCGTACCTTCGATCGGTGAGGAAAGCTCAGCTATGTTGGTTGCACCACTACTATGACGATACTAGCCGTTATCTAGATGTTCTATCTTTCTTATTCTTATGTGAACATTTATTCATGGTTATGATTTCTTTGTTTTTTTCATACTCTTTGTCATATTCATTTTATTTTTTATTATTACTATTCGTTTCTTGCACATAATTATTTTTTCATTGTTATACTTCTGCTTGATTGTTTCATTCAGTCGCTAAATTCTTTAGTTTACACATACACACATTTCTCTTATTCTCTGTTCTCTTATGTTTTATTGACATTTTCTTCTTGTTATTATTTTATTTAATAAATTGACCGACCTTCATTCATCCATGACTCGTAATTACTTCATCATCCTATTATATGCTGTCTTGCTGTGTCATCTGGGATCGCATTTCAGAGAAATGCATCCCTGCGCATCAATTAATTATTATTTTTTCTTAAAGAAGAAAAGAGAAAAGAAACTCTTTTTCAGAGACGTATAGCTAACTATATCTAACACGAATAAAGATATTATGTCCCCTATTCTCGAGATCTCAGATTGTAGGTGGTAGGACAACAATACCCTATGATTTTGGAGAAGTCCATGAAATATAGTGTCAATAATAGTAATTATTACGTATTTCTTTTTTCTGATGATAGGAAGGAAAAATATCCTTGCCTTTCAGCTACCTTGCAGTATGAGATACTGCCTAACGGCAGATTCAATAGCCCGGTATTTTTCCCACGACAATGAGTAGTTGTAGCTGTAGCTCTAGACAGAAGACCAGTCTGAGATAGAGCTTTTGTGTTCAATTGCTTGAGCTTCTCATATACACTTACTAACCACATGCTACCCGCACGAATCAATGTATTTCACTGTATAGTCAGTATACTATTGGACGGATGATCAGAGACAAATAGCCGTCAGTGACTTGTCGAGAGTCATTCCATGACTGGTGGTACTAAAGTCTGCATACAGTATCTTGTGGATACGTGCTGAACAACGCAGCAATCCAGCCATAGCAATCTAGCCCATCCTTGGTTACGCCACTATTACAGTCTCTTCCTCTTGATTCAGAGGCGTAGCTACGCTCCAAATATTCAGAAACCTAACGCAACAAGTCACATCTCTGAATGGACTAGACATCGTTTTTTATGCATTTTCTATAATACAATTTACAAAGCTTTAACAAAACCATGTGACAAATAAATATTAATAGAATATTGATAAGATCATTCACTTTTACAGTACAAAAGAAAGACAATATATATATATAGAAAACTTGTTTCTAATGATGAAACAAGATGATAGACATACATTTATTATTCTTAATTCTTTTATCAACAATTTACAAGTAATAAGATAGAACAAATACAAATATCTTCAAAGATTGATTGAACAGGTTATTCAAGGAGAAAATGAATGGGAACAAAGGGAAAGTTTCCCCTTCCGAAGATATTTTTTTTAAAATGTCTCACAGCATAATTGAGCGAAAATTGCCTTCATACAATCTCAGGTGAATTTAAAAAACCATGTTTTACGTATGATCGTCCTTCTCTTGTCAATATCGTAGATTCATTACTATGTATTTTTCCATTATTTTCAAAAAGAATAGGACTTGATAATAAAAGACCATTAATTTCATTATTAGCAACTGTTACTGTTAATCTTCGTGTTGAAATTTTTCCATTTAAAATTGATGATTTTCTTCCAGTAGTTTGTGATACTAATGATGGTCGTGCTCCAAAATAATTTAAAGTTTTTCGTCGATGTTTTGAAAATGTTAGACAAAAATGTTCAGTTAAAACAATAAAAAATAATGGATTAAGTATACCTTCAATATGACTAAGTAAAACAACAAGTTGATGTGCATATTTAAGAAAATGTTTTAATAATGGTCGTCGTCGTATAGTTTCATCAAGAAGAAAACTTGTAGAAAATTTAAATATCCAAAATGGTGTATAACATATTAGAAATGATAAAACAATACATAAAACAAGTTTAACACCACGTGTTCGTTTTTTTATTAATTTTAAACGTGTTAATTGTCGTTTACGATTTAACCATTGATGTAAAAATCGAAGTAATTTTAATGAAAATAAAACAATTATTGAATATGGTATAATAAAAGCAATTATATATAATATGATTTCATAGATAAGTAAGTCACGTTCCGATAACATTGAACGACATGTTAATATAGGTAATGTTGTGGAATTTTTATTTATAATATTATTTTGATCATAAATATATGTATAAAAAATAAATGGATATGGTAAAAGTAAACCAACTGTCCATATAATCAATAATGATATAAAAGTAATTAATAAACGAAATTTTGCTGCTAATTTTGAACGAGCATCTATATAACGTTCAACACTTAATGCTGCTACTGTATAGACAATTACCTAAAACAAAAATATGTAAAATGCCATTTTATCTTATAACTAATATAATTGGATTCTGATTGATTAAGAGTTCTATAACCATGAATTCACCTGGTTTTTTTTTCTATAGAAAATTACCAAATGTTCGATTGTACTGATTGTGTTAACTTTTTGAAAAAGAATTCTATCTAGACTTAATAATGAGGTTAAAAAAAATTGTCTAGTATAATTAGTCCTAAAATATTTCAAAGTATGTATTTCGAAGCATCTTCATAAGTCTGTCTACTTTTGCGTGAGATTCCGATTTTAGTGATGTAAATATAAAAATATATAAAAAATACGATATTACTTACCCAGATCAATGATTTCGGCATCGTGAATATCTGACAGACTTTCGCCGAAAATACCGGATAGAGATGGCCATCTCTTGGCCCGAGTAGTAGTTTCTGTTTTTATGACTCAATGTCGGAACAAAATAAATACCACATTCGAAATTAATAATACAAACTACCTCCGATGTAGTGAACTGCATCGGAGTCATTTCGGAGTCGTCATCGGTGTTAAATAAATTTCTTGCCGAGAATTCATTTTTAACATTAGAAAGTTTTTGACTTGAAGGTTTTGTTCTCTGATATTTTCTCTACAAACTGATGTATTTTGAAGATCCAATCGATGTCTTATCGAGGGTTACGGTCAGGAAAGAAAATCGGAGTCCGAATTGACTCCGATTTTTTGTGACTCCGACTTTCTTCCGTGACAGAAACCCTCGATAAGGCATCGATTGGATCTTCAAAATTCATCAGTTTGTAGAGAAAATATCAGAGAACAAAATCTTCAAGTCAAAAACTTTCTAATGCTAAAAATGAATTCTTGGCAAGAAATTTATTTGACTCCGATGACGACTCCGAAATGACTCCGATGCAGTTCACTACTCCGATGATAAATAGTTCATCGAAAAAAAATGATATGTTTTACAAGAAAAATATTCAGTTCTCATAAGCAGTTTTTCTCAAGTTTCGTCGACAATCCTCACGGATGCATTTTTCATAAAAAATATTATTTTTGTTTCTTTTTGGTATATTCGTAATCATCGGAGATAGTTTGTTATACTAATTCTAAATGTGGTATTTATTTTGTATTGAAACTATATTATTATAAAAGAAACTACTACGTATTAACGCATTTTTGATATGTTCCTATGTTGATGTCACTGGAATTAGGATAAAGTCTATTTTCTCAATAGTAAAAGAAAATTGGAAAGAAATGAAATAGATACGTTTCGAGCTCACAATAATAAGACGGTTTGCCTTATTGTTTGTCACGCAAAAGTAGATAGGCTTACAAAAGGATTTTGAAATACATACTTTAAAACATGTCAAAACAATGTATACTGAATTATATTTTCTTAAAATTAGTATTAAATTTAAATATAAACATATAATATTTTTCGAATCAGTTTTTTTATGTTGAATCAGAATTGAATATTTTTCAAAAAGTGAATTCATGGTTATAAATGCATGTTTATAGTCATGGAAATTTTCTCAAATTTTTCTTTTCCTGCCTAAACAAATAATCATAGAGAAATGAATGATAGAAAAATTGACTTGAATTTAGCATGAAGCATTGCACGCAGATGAGTTCAAGGAAACACCTTAAATGTTATTCTTTTATGTAGGATAACTACTAATTTTAGAAGTAACATTTTTTCGGCATATATAATTCTAAGGTCAGTTACTAAGCCTCGATACCATCGAGATTTATCATGACCGTATATTTCAGGTTATTAAAATATAATTAAATGGTATGAAGTAAAATAGAGTGTTTAGTTCTAGATATCGTCGAAGACATCAGATTAGTTTTATTTTACTGCAAGGTACAACATACTATTCATACGAATGGTTCTATACGGAGAAGAAAAGCTTCTATTGATGAACGTTTTATTCTTACTTATATAGATGAGATACTTATAACTTGTTACGGTTAATTGCTTCATTTTTCTTTGTCATATCTTTAAAAATAGATTTATAAACAATTAGTATTTTTTAAGTGCTTATAGAAACTCAACAACTGTGTTTTTCTATCTTTTTATGACTTATTTCCATGTTATTACCTCAATGACTTCATTATTTCTATATCCTAAAGCAAGATTTGTTTTTTTCAAATTCAACACTTCTCTTGTATCATTAACGGGAGTCGTTCTCTCCAAAGTTTCTCGGGAACGCTCGACAAAAATTTATGAAACTTTCAAGGCAAATAGATTTTGATAAGTGGAGCGAAAGTTGTCATAGACTCAAAATATCCAAATACTTCCTTCGCAAAAATATGAGACTTACAAAGGCCAAAAATGGCCGGAAGTTTTCTTCTCGGCAAAACTCTATTTCATTTTTTCGAGCTGTAAATTTTTTTTATGACAACTAGGATTAAATTGGGGTTGGTGTTTTGTTTCCTTTCAAAAATATTGTCCCTAGAGCTCAGGAGAAGCAATATACTGGAAGCATCGTCAAAAAAATGTGTTTTGTTTTTCAATGATACTAATTTTTTAAAGATTGTCAAATACCATACGAGAAATATTTTGAAGCAAAAACAAAATAAATACACATTTCAATTTGACCAAAGTACCCATAAAAAAAAAAGTTTGAGTCCGCTCGGACATACCGTGTGGTAGAAAAGGGTAGACAAAATTTCATTTTTTTCGTTCAAAAATTGATTTTGAGAAAAACACAGAACAAAGTAAAATCTTGTTTTTTCACATGTATCTTTTTTCTCTTTTGCTCATTTTGAATTATTACAGATTATTATTTATTTCACATCAAATATGACTGTAAATAGTTATTTCTAAGAAATATTGGTAGAATTAATAAACAAGATAAATTCACAAAATTGCTATCAAAAAAACCATAGATTTTTTTCCAAGATAGGGATTCTCGAAGTTAAACTTTTTCAGAACTTATACAGCCTGGCATAGTTCTGGTTTTTACGACACTTGATTGAAGACACTTCAATATATCTTTCGAAATGAAAATCTCGAAATCTGAAAAAAAAAATTTTTTTTGGGTTAGGAAAGGAGTCCTTAAAAGAAATCAAGAAACTTTTCCAGTTATGTGCCCAATAGCCATTTGATCTTTATAAAAATGAGATCTTTCAAATTGACCTAGATAATAATATCTTGTTACTCCTACATCTATTTTTCAAAGCACAGGAATTCTATACTTCCTTTTGAACTAAATTTAAATATTTTTTGCCCATTGCATCTTCAATTTACACCTATAGCTAAGTGATTTAGCACTAAGGAAACGGAAGACTATTTCCTAACGAGAACTGACTCGAAAAGCATTCTGTGTCATTATCGAAAGCAGAGAGATGAATTATATTTCCCTTCCTTTCTCAATTCTTTAAGAATAGTAAATTATAAATTCTTTTTTTTTTTGTTTTGATGGAATAAAATTTTTGAAATATAATCATGATGATAACTAACTAATATATATATTAAAATCACAACTTACCACAGTACAAAGAACATCAATAGTTAAACTAAATTTACAACCAAATTCGCCAAATATCCAACTAGGTGTAAGTAAATTACTACTAAAGAAGATAATACCCACTAAAAATAAAAGTTATTTATTTATTTATTTATTTATTTTGTAGAAAATGTTTTTTTTTTATCGATTATACATACTAGCATGAATTATATCAGCAACAGCTAAATTAACAACAAGTATAGCAATTGATGTTTTATCTCGTCTCGCACGAATATAAATAATAGCCATTATATTGAGTATAATTGTCCCAAAAAATATAACAGCATTAGTTAAAACAAATAAAATTCGTAGAATAATATTTTCCATCATTCTTTTCAAATAATAAGAATTATAATGCGTGGTAATATAGATATATATATGAGACAATGGTTAAAAAAATGTTTTCATACATTTATTCTTATTACATATCTCAGTAGATTAATAAGAAAAAGTGAGACACGAATGTGAGTAAAATAAATTAACTAAGACAATATACGATTCGTGTATATGATTGACATCTAATAAAATGAATGAGAA